ATGAACGGGTTTAAGAGTTTTTAAGAGTTTAAGAGTTTTAAGAGTTTTTAAGAGTTTTAGCCAAATGCTTTATAATATAGTATAGATATATATATATAGATAGATAGATAGATAGATAGATAGATAGATGATGTTAATATTGTACGAAAGAATAAAATGACAACAATACCTTTTGAATTAGTGGATTAATTTATTTCAATGTTATGGGGAGGGATTAAAACCAGTCAATGTTGTATATCAGAAGAGTTTTTTTACATTAAAAAAACCTATAAGGACTAATCTTAGAATATCAACAAACCACATGGACTATAAATGTAATTAACTCAAAAAGTAGTAAATTGTTAATTGACAACATGGTGTAGGAGTGTAGTAGGTGGGTAATCGGATCATTTGGAAAAAAAAGTCAAAAGATAATCTATGGAAAAGTATTAAATTACAGATCTAGACATAAATTAAACATTTTGGAGTAAATTTCAGATTTGGTCCATGAGGTTTGCAGTTTGTTACAGATTTGGTCTTTTATTTTTATCTATTACATAATAACTTCTATGTAAAGTGACTTTTGTTTGGTTCCTCCCCTTAACATTCCTACATTGAGTACGTTAGTTCTGAGGGTAAAGTGGTCTTTTCAGCATTTTTCTTTATTTTAGAGGCTGTTTGGCAATTGCTGAATGGTTTGGTACAAAATAATTAAGTTGTCAGAATGATTAAGAGGCTCTCATGATATAGTGTAAAATGAAATATATGGTTCTTAATGGTTAAAAGAGATACATGATATAAAATCATTCAAAGAGTTTTAGAACCATTAAGAGACAGACTTTTATTTTGCCAAACAAGATTTAACTCTTCACGATTCAGATGTTGTCTATTAATGAAACTATTAAAAGGTAAACAAACAACACCTAAGTGAAATCCAATCTACACCGTTACCATTGCCGAGCACCACCACCACGGTTTGGATGGTTTATGTTTTTTTTATTCTAGGGTTTTATTTATGTATTTAATTTTATGGTTTGATCTCTTAGAGCCTGAATGATTGTATCACCAAACTTTTGTATAAAATTATTCTTGATGTAATTGTGTATATATTTGTGTATAAATTGAGGTAGTGGGTTAAAAAAGTGTAAATTATGTTTGCGCATGTTATATATAACTAGAAGGGTACTCGTACAATGCAGCAAGATACATCTCGATTTTAGTGTTTCGTTTTATTCTGTCTCCGTCAATATTATAATACGATTTTATATAATACTGAAAAAACGATAATGTTTTTATTTTTTAAATAAAATATAAATTTGAAGGTATTACAATTTTTTTTTTTAAAAAATGTATCGATTTTAGTATCAAATTAAATATTTAAAAGTTCTTATTTTTTTATATAATTTCTTTAATTCAATTTTTTTATTATAATTTAATTTAGATATAATAACGTCATTTATTTTTGGTTTATTAATATCATTCTTTTATAAAGATAATAATTAACATTTTGTTAGAATTCAATAATTATCTTAAATATATTTTAGATTTTTTACATTTAATGAAATACATATCCAGTATTTGATTATGTTTATCTACAGTTTATTACATGAATTCAACATAAAACTTTAATAAGTTGTACATACACACAATTTATTTGTAATTTTAAATTTTAAGTAACATACATCAATAAATAATACTTAATCCATAAAAAAAATGAATTTTAAGAGTTTTTCTCAAATGTTTTATAATACACTATATATAAACAAACCACATGACATTATTTTTAGAGAAAAGAAAAAAAAGTAAATTAACAATTTACAAAATGACCATTTTCCCCTCATAATTAACAAAAACAATAAATAAAAGTCAGCACGAGAGACCAAATCCAATACAAACTGTACGATCAAAGGGTTATTATGTAGTTAATAAAACAAGAAAACCAAATCCATAACAATAATCAAACCCCAGTGACCAAATCGCAATTTACTCGTCATTTAAAAATAGTATTAATTTATTTTATTTGGATTTTTTTTTATGTATTTTTAGACAGACGTATTGTATAGTCCATGGTTGGTGGGAAATGGGAAGCGTCTCTCTCTCTCTCTCTCTCTCTCTCTCTCTCTATGCATGTATATATATATATATATATATATATATTATGTGTGTGTATATATATAGCAGGATTTGGGGAAGCAGTCACATGTGAATCATAGCTTATTCACATAAACAGAATGGAGTACTTTGGATCAAAAAGCTTAACATGTCTACTCCTCCTCCTTCTAACACTTGAATCTGAGTTATTCATCGCTCCGGTGCTTTCAAAATCCATCGTCTCTACTCTTCCAGGATATCCCGGTGAACTTCCATTCAAACTTGAAACAGGGTAAATACATCGATCAGATCAGATCAGATCTAAATCTAAATCTATACGTACAGGTTTTTTGTATCTATATATTATATAGTAATGAAATAAAGTACATATTTGTGTGTGTGTAGTTATGTGGGAATAGGAGAGAAAGAAGATGCACAGTTTTTCTACTATTTTGTTGAATCAGAAGGAAATCCAGAAGAAGATCCTCTCATATTCTATCTCACCGGAGGTCCTGGCTGTTCTGCTGTTATCACCTTCTTCTATCAAATTGGTATGTGTTTTAGGGTTTGTTAGAATATGTGAAATCCACTTTTTGAGATTCATCTAAAAACATCGAATACCAAGGGATGAGAGATTCATTTATATCCTCAGGATATATGTGGAAATAAGTAACTTGCTTTTAACTTCTTTCATATTTTTGGGTAACGTATTTTCATAACTTCTATTTTGGTATCTATGATGTAAGGTTTTGAACATTTAAGTAGCTAGGTAAATGGTTGAAGCATTAATCGGTTACCATGCTGTTGTGGGGAGTGATGTGGTATATGGTTAATGCTTCGGCAAATAATACCGAGTTCGATAGCACATCACTCGTTATATCAGCATTGTAGCTGGTTAATCTTCAATCAGTTACCTGGATACTTAAATGTTTAAGACTTTACATATTAAATACCAAAATGAAAGTTTTAAAGTACGTTAATCTAAATAGGAATCAAATTAAAGTAACATGCAATTTATCCTTATATATGTGTGTGTATATATTTTTTTGTAGTAGAATCAAGTTAATTCATGCAATTAACAACATAAAAAGTAAGGGGCTGTTGGATAGTTGCTGAATGGTTTGGTACAGAATGATTAAGAGGTTTTCATGATATAGTGACAAAATGAAATATAATCATTTGGTAATTGTTTACAATGAAATTAGGACTCTGAATGATTAAGAAACACTTATGATACAAAATCGTTCAGAAGGTTTTAGAACCATTAATAAACATATTTTTTTTGTCAAACAAGATTCACCTTTTAATGATTCAAATATTTTTTTTTATAAAGTATTTAGAAGTTAATGTTTTTTAATTGATTGATTTGAGTAAGTAACTCCCTTTATGTCACTTATTCACCCCCTTCCTCTCACATTCAATCAATTTGTTTAATATTATAATTCTAAATTACACTTCATACCCCTGTAATTATTTAATTAATTTACTTTATTCACTTTTAAATTTTTTATTTTGCACCTTTATTAAATTAACATATATAATCGTATATTAACTAAAACATGTTTAAAAAATACTTTTTTATTTTAACAAGTTACACCATTATAATCGTCTCGTTAATACCTTCGAAATGAGTYCAATATTGAATAGTTTTTGAGTTAATTATATTATTATATATTATATACACTGTGAAAAAAATATTTTTATTATTTACGATTTATATTTTTATAGCTATTTATTTAATTTATGATCTATCAATTATTTT